CACACAATATCCAGCTTAGTGTCCTTCTCCACCCTATCAGGCGGGTAGAAAGGAGTGCGGATGCCCTCTACAAAGGGGGGGGTCAGCTACAAAGTCCACGGCGCCCTTCAAGTGGCATTTCACGATCGGTCATGGCAGCACGCAATGACCGCCATCCTCCGCCGTCTGCCAAGTTTCCATGATGTCCTCTGCCAGCGTCCAAAGCCAAACACCCTCCAAAACGTTGAAGAAGAGTTAACAAATGTCATTTTTTTTTTCTCAGCAGTGATCCCACTGGAGAGGGTTTCCTTCACTTCCTGTCTATGTGACACCCATACAAGAAATGGGGGAGGAGGTTGTCACCAGGACAGAAAGTCCCAGACAATGATTAAACTGTTGTCAGAGGTTCTAACCCTTCCTTGATGTACTAATAATGTGTTTCTATTTTTTTTCTATTTTAGTCCCCATAAGAGAGATGTCCCATCACTTCCTGTTCTGAGAGGGAGTTTGGTTTAATTTAGAATGTTGCACAGGACTCCTGAGTGCTGCATTAGTTGTAAGTCTTCTCAACTCCATATCACCCCTTAATTATACATGTGCTCCAGTTGGTGACTGTGCCTAGGCTGAGATGATGTCATCAGTCTGCTGCAGGCAGGAGGAAGCATTTCCTCAGTCTCCTCTCCCCCAGTGATCAGACTGTACATTGTAACTTTGTAGAAGAAGGAGGAGGCATTTCCTCAGTCTCCCCTCCCCCAGTGATCAGACTGTACATTGTAACTTTGTAGAAGGAGGGGGAAGCATTTCCTCAGTCTCCTCTCCCCCAGTGATCAGACTGTTCATTGTAACTTTGCAGTAGGCAGGAGGAAGTCGGTGCCATCCTTTTGGTAGAAAAGCAGATGAAGGCATTGTCGGGGAGTCCTGTGATCTCTGTGGGAGGTAATAAATACCTGGAAGGGTTACTCTGTCCTAAGTATGTGTACTTAACCTGACACATATACATGATGACAGGTCCTCTTGGCCTCATTCACCTGTGAGGAACATATTTTTGTTGTTACAACCATTTTAGATGCATATACAGTATAACCTGGTGGAGTCCTCCTTTAAGATTTCAAAATCACAATGTGAAGGTATGAGTGGCATCCATTTCTCTTCATTTGGTATTTTCTTTGTCTCTTGATTGCAAGCTCCTGGGCTCAGCAGATCAGAGGTTAACAGCAGCAATCCGGCATCCTCCGGCGACAGCGCCCAGAGGCTCTTCCCTGCCTCTGTGCCGACCAGTCCCTTCTTGTAGAGCAGGCCACGGCGTAGGGTGAAAAGTGCATTCCTCTTCATACCTGCAGGGCAAACATTCCGAGCCGCGGCGCTATCAATCAACCGTGACAGCAGAGGGGACCCAACACGCCATACGCCGCACATCAACACGCCATACGCCACACATTCGTCTGGTTATACGTTGTACACAGATTAGGCCCAGTTATGGAGTTATGTAAAGCAGATTAGAGAAGGATTAATGGATAGAAATGCAACTGGTTCACTGCCAGGGGGGGGGGGGGGGGGGGGGGGGGGGGCGGGGGGCAGTACCTGATCTCAGGAGAAAGTCACCAAACTCAGGACAAATTGTCAAATCCCTGACTTCCTGTAGAAGACTGTTTATAGGCGGAGTGCCACCGCAAACCTGGGAGGCTACAGACCTCAGATGGTGGTTGGAGGATCTGGTGGTCAAGAGATCATTCCAAAAACACAACTGCCATTTCTGCTGGAACATCTTTGTTAGCTGAGAACTGGACCTGTGCTGGGAGGCCATGAAGGTCATCTGAAACAGTGGTTCTCAACCTCCAGGCCATGGCTTACTGCTGAACCACAACTTCGCTTCTTCCAGGTCTGCAGCCAACTGCTGACCTCTTAACCTCCCACAGTGCCTCCAAGCTTCCATAGTGCCCCCCAACCTCTCATAGTAGCCCACAGTGCCCCCAGGCCCCCTGAGAACTCTCAGCTTCCATAGAGCATCCCAACCTCTCACAGTGCCTCTAAGCTTCCAAAGTGTCACCCAACCTCTCATAGTGGCCCACAGTGCTCCCTGAGAACCCTCTGTCTCCATTGTGCCTCCCAAGTTCCCACAGTGCCTTCAAGCTTCCATAGTGCTCCCCAACCTTCAATAGTGTCCCACAGTGCCCACAGAGAACCCTCAGCCTCCAAAGTAACTCCCAACTTCACAGAGTTCCTCCAAGCTTCCATAGTGCCACCCAATCTCCTATAGTGCTCCTAGGCCCCCTGAGAACCCTCAGCCTCCAAAGTAACTCCCAACTTCACAGACTTCCTCCAAGCTTCCATAGTGACCTACAGTGCCCCCAGGCTCCCTGAGAACCCTCAGTGTCCATGCTTCCATACTGCCCCCCCAAGCTCCTATACTAGCCCACAGTGCCCCCAGGCCCCCTGAGACTGCTCAGCCTCCATGCTTCCATAGTGCCCCCAACCTCCTATACTGGCCAACAGTGCCCCCAGGTCCCCTGAGAACACTCAGCATCCATAGTGCCTCCCAACCTCCCACAGTGCCTTCAAGCTTCCATCGTGCTCCCCAACCTCCAATAGTGGCTCACTTTGATGCTGAGCAAACGCCCCCCCATTGGTCATCGGCCAGTCTGCAGAGCCTACAATACATCCACAAAGGGAGGACCTGCCCCAGTCTGATCCTAATGGTGTCTATGGACCTGAGATGATCGTCAAGTAATCTGCCCTTTCCAGCTGGATTGGGTAAAGATTCTTCTGCCATCACCCCTCCCCTGCTTAATTCACATAAACAGGAATGCTCAGCCAAGTTGAAGGTTCCCGTGTCTGGAGGTGCGGGATGATGGTTGGTCACAAATTTTGTGCTGAATCCGCAACTTTATTTAGACTTTGGCATTTTGATGTACTTTTTTTTTTTTTTTTATAATTTAAAGTATAACTGCCTAAGTATAATCCGTTCCCTCATCCCTCTTTGACTAATGACCCCGGAAGCGATGTGTATTATGTCACTTCTGGGGGGGGGGGCAGTTGTCATTCCTTGGCTAGTGTAGCCATGGATGCAGCTATTCAAGCATGATCTGTGCTTCATTTGCTGCACTGGAGGGCAGGGGAGGCATTGGGAGTCTAATAGACCCATGGTGACTATATAAAGAGGACCTCTCACCTGCCCATGCTATCATATAGGGAGCTTGTTAGCCCCAATGTGATGGCAAAAAAAGCTTAAAAAAAAAAAAAAAAAAAAAGTATAAAAAATAAATAAAAAATATTTCAAAGCACCCCATACACATGTATTTTAAAATGTGCCACACTTGCAAAGTATCACCACCAACGTCAAAGCGAGAGCAATCATTCCAGTTCACAATTAACTTTAAAGCGGAGTTCCACCCAAAAGGGGAAGTACCGCTTTAAAGATTGGTCCCCCCCGCTCCCCATTAAGGATTGGCACCTTTGGGGAGCGGGTACCCGAAATTGACAGGTACCCGCTCCCACTTCCACTGCGATCGCCTAGGCCAGGGGTAGGCAACCTGAGAGCCGCAGGACTACAAGTTCCATCATGCCTCTGCAAGTCATAGCTGTAACTGTCAGTTTTGTTATCTTTGCAATGCCTCATGGGAAATGAAGTTCCACAACAGCTAGAGAGCCGCAGGTTGCCTACCTCTGGCCTAGGAGATCGGAAGCAGACGTTGTCCTCCTACCCAGTGGCGTCCCGAGGCAGGTGCGGGGGGTGCGGCCCGCACCGGGTGACACCGACCGCACGGGGTGACACCAAACCCGCTCCACGAAAAGGTAAGTTGTAAAGAAAGCCGACGATCCCCCAGGATGGATCTGATCCATCCTGCGGGGATTGTCGGCTTTCTTTACAACTTACCTTTTCGTGAAACAGGTCCGGTGTCACCCCGTATAGGTTGTATGCCGACGATCCCCGCAGGATGGATGGGATATGCGGATTGGGGAGCATAATGGATCGGACACCGAAGGTTCTCTTCGTTGGAAGAGAAATTTGTTCGATCAGTGGTTCCGTGAAATGTTTCAGACGATTTTCTTATCGGGTGTACGGGGCATTAGTCTGGCTGAAAAAAAGACAAAAGTCCATCCAATTCAACCATTAAAAAAAAAAAAAAAAAAAAAGTTATAATCCTACACCCACAGTTGATCCAGAGTTGATCCCTTGTGAAAGAGTCCAGGAAGTGACGAAACGCGTAGGGACACGTTTGTCTGACGCACTCAAGCAAAACTGGAAGTGCGGGTCGCGGCCATTTTGGCAGTGGGAACGTGCAGTTCTCTATACATAGGGCTACACCTGAGCTGTTTTGAATGTTGGAAGCTGATATTCTTCAATTTTAATGTAAGATATTCAATAAATATTTTATATATTTTACTATATACCGCTGATTATCTCCTATCTTACCTTATGAGGAATATGGACGAGTGGCAACAGGAACATTAGGAAGCCTGGAGAGTGCGACTATCCACTGGTTTTTTAAAAGCCTGTCATTTATTTCCAGAGGGTAATTATCCATTGTTGCACCAGTTGGAGGAGATCACTTTTATTTTTTCTTTTCACTATTATTGAGTTTGTAGTGCTCACTATTAGAGATTTGGGTTATTACCCATTCTCACTATTTGGAGGTGATCACATATGTTTCATCGTTTGGAGTTGGAATGGTCACTATTTTGATTATTGTCACGAGTGTATTTACATATTGAGAGATTGATATATTGTTATAGTTTTTTTTTTCCTCCACGTGTGAGTACACGTTATGCAGTTGGCATGATACACTGTTTTTTCACTATTTTGCATGAATGTTCAGTTTAACCGCCTCCCTCCCGCCCTATAGTAAAATGACAGGCGCAAGGTGGTTCTCTCGTTCTGATAGGACGTCATATGATGTCCTACCAGACTCACTGCGCATGCGCGGCTCAGGGAGCGCACAGCGCGGCGATCGCCGGTGCGCTGTGTCCCTCGGACACAGCGGATCACGGAAAGACCTGAAGATGTCGGCTCGGTCATGTGATCAGCTGTGTCCAATCACAGCTGATCACATGTAAACATGGAAATGCCGGTTATCGGCATTTCTCTCCTCTCGAGCTGTCACGCTGACAGCTCGAGAGGAGAGCCGGTAATCGGCTTTCTGCGGAGGGGACATGTACACTGATCATCAGGGCACTGATCAGTGTGCCCTGATGATCAGTGTGGCCCCAGAAGTGCCACCTGTCAGTGCCACATATCAGTGTCCATCTGAGCTGCCTTTCAATGTCACCCATCAGTGCCAGTCAGTGCCAACCTATCAGTGCTGCCAATCAGTGCCACCTATCAGTGCCAGTCAGTGTCGCCTATCAGTGCCAGTCAGTGCCGCCTAACAGTGCCAATCAGTGCCACCTAACAGTGCTCGTCAGTGTCGTCCAACAGTGCTCGTCAGTGCCGCCTATCAGTGCCAGTCAGTGCCGCCTATCAGTGCCACCTATCAGTGCCATATATCAGTGTCATGTATCAGTGCTGCCTTTCAGTGCCCACCAGTAATGCCTGTCAATGCCCATCAGTGCAACCTACCAGTGCCTCCTCATCAGTGCCACCTATCAGTGCCCATCACTGCAACCTCATTAGCGCACATCAGTGAAGGAGAAAAATCACTTATTTACAAACTTGTATAACAAAAACTAAGAAAAAACTTTTTTTTTTCAAAATATTCAGTGGTTTTTGGTTTGTTTAAGAAAATATAAAAATCCCAGAGGTGATTAAATGCCTCCAAAAGAAAGCTCTATCTGTCTCAAAAAAATGATAAAAATTTCATATGGGTACAGTGTTGCATGACTGCGCAATTGTCATTCAAAGTGTGACAGCACTGAAAGCTAGAAATTGGCCTGGGCAGGAAGGGGATAGAAGTGCCCGGTAGGCAGGAAGGGGGTAGAAGTGCCCGGTGGGCAGGAAGAGGGTAGAAGTGCCTGGTAGGCAGGAAGGGGGTAGAAGTGCCCGGTGGGCAGGAAGAGGGTAGAAGTGCCTGGTAGGCAGGAAGGGGGTAGAAGTGCCCTGTAGGCAGGAGGGGGTAGAAGTGCCCTGTAGGCAGGAAGGGGGTAGAAGTGCCCTGTAGGCAGGAAGGGGGTAGAAGTGCCTGGTAGGCGTGAAGGGGGTAATAGTGCCCTGTAGGCAGGAAGGGGGTAGAAGTGCCCTGTAGGCAGGAAGGGGGTAGAAGTGCCCGGTGGGCAGGAAGGGGGTAATAGTGCCCTGTAGGCAGGAAGGGGGTAGAAGTGCCCGGTAGGCAGGAAGGGGGTAGAAGTGCCCTGTAGGCAGGAAGGGGGTAATAGTGCCCTGTAGGCAGGAAGGGGGTAGAAGTGCCCGGTGGGCAGGAAGGGGGTAGAAGTGCCCGGTAGGCAGGAAGGGGGTAGAAGTGCCCGGTAGGCAGGAAGGGGGTAGAAGCGCCCGGTAGGCGAGGGGTTAAAGGTAATACACTATCATAAGTTTATTTTTTTGAGGTTCACAAAGAATTTTGGAAAATCCATACTGGATGATCAAAGAGTGAAACGAGTTTGCTTTGGAATTTGGAAAGACATCTTTACAGAGACATTTTGGACATTTTTTTGGGATATTTAGTTTGATATATTTTGGGGATTTTTTATTTTATTTTACAATTTATTTTATTTATTTATTTTTGTAAAATTTATTTATGTATTATTTTATTGTATATTGGGGTAGATTTATCTATGTTTAAAGAAGAGTTTAGTTACATGATCCAGAGGAAGGCAGAAAACCCAGCAAAGCACGATCCAATTTGCTCCTGCAGGGAAAAAAAATTCCTTCCTGATCCCCCCGAGAGGCAATTGGATATTCCCTGGATCAACTTTCCCTATAAATATTATATCCAGTTATATTCTATGTGTCTAAGATTTCAATGCATTTTTTTTTTTTTTAAACAAAAACATTTTGCCAGAATCTCACAATTTAGAATTTTTGGGGAAACTTAGGCTGGCCATACACTTTACAATTTTCTTACAGTTTTCTGTCCAATTTCCTTTAGATTTACCTTCAACTGTGTAGTACAAGGGCCCGCCTAATTGGATACAACTGAAAGTGTTGTTTGGGTGTCAACTTCTATTATATGGTTTTTGGTAAATCTAAAGCAAAAATCTCAAGAAAATTGTATAATGTATGGCCAGCCTTAAACTCTTATTATTGCTCATCCCTACTCAGAAGTCTATGAGACAATTGACACTTCGTCGGTAATAGATTGGTCTTTATTGCAGCATTTCCTCGGTGCAATCAGCACACTTGCTGGACATTATCTGATGAGCCCGGATCTCTTGTGGCAACACTCCGGATCTATTCAGTCCCTTATACACCGAGATGTTTGCAGCTGTTGGTCCTTTTTTTGGTGATTTGCTCCAGTCTTGCTGTGCCATACCGACCGTCCTGTGACCTGGAATAATGAGCTCCGTTCTTTTCTTTGGTCTAGAACTCCATTTAAAATCACTGACACTAAACACATAGTTGTGTTGCCCATAGCAGCTAAGTCCCCGGCATTTAAATGGGCAACTTCACTGCATTCCCCTAAGGCCTTGTGCACATGGACATACGTAGAATACGACTCTATTCCAGCTAAGCATAGGGGGAGTTTATAATCCCGAAAAACGTATATAAATCCATCCTAACCAATCCAGACCCCACCAGGGTTTGGTCAGACAGGAGGTGCTGGAGGTTCTTACAGACATACCAATGTTCTAAAATGGACAACTCTTCTACAGGTGAAACTCAAAAACTTAGAATATGGTGCAAAAGTTCATTTATTTCAGTGCAGCAACTTAAAAGGTGAAACTAATATATGAGATAGACTCATTCCATGCAAAGCAAGATAGTTCAAGCCGTGATTTGTCATCATTGTGATGATTATGGCTTACAGCTCATGAAAACCCCAAATCCACAATCTCAGAAAATGAGAATATTGTGAAAAGGTGGAATATTCTCGGCTCAAAGTGTCCCACTCTAATCAGCTAATTAAGCCATAACACCTGCAAAGGGTTCCTGAGCCTTTAAATGGTCTCTCAGTCCGGTTCAGTAGGAATCACAATCATGGGAAAGACTGCTGACCTGACACCATCACTGACACCCTCCATAAGGAGGGAAAGCCTCAAAAGGTAATTGCAAAAGAAGTTGGATGTTCCCAAAGTGCTGTATCAAAGCACATTAATAGAAAGTTATGTGGAAGGGAAAAGTGTGGAAGAAAAAGGTGCACAAGCAGCAGGGATGACCGCAGCCTGGAGAGGATTGTCAGGAAAAGGCCATTCAAAAGTGTTGGGGACTTTGACAAGGAGTGGACTGAGGCTGGAGTCAGTGCATCAAGAGCCACCACACACGGATCCTGGACATGGGCTTCAAATGTCGTATTCCTCTTGTTAAGCCGCTCCTGAACAACAAACAACGTCAGAAGCGTCTTACCTGGGCTAAAGAAAAACAGACCTGGTCTGTTGCTCAGTGGTCCAAAGTCCTCTCCTGATGAGAGCAACTTTTGCATGTCATTTGGAAACCAAGGACCCTGAGTATGGAGGAAGAATGGAGAGGCCCAAGGACCCCGAGTATGGAGGAAGAATGGAAAGGCCCAAGGACCCTGAGTATGGAGGAAGAATGGAGAGGCCCAAGCACCCCGAGTATGGAGGAAGAATGGAGAGGCCCAAGGACCCAGAGTATGGAGGAAGAATGGAGAGGCACAAGGACCCCGAGTATGGAGGAAGAATGGAGAGGCCCAAGGACCCCGAGTATGGAGGAAGAATGGAGAGGCACAAGGACCCCGAGTATGGAGGAAGAATGGAGAGGCACAAGGACCCAGAGTATGGAGGAAGAATGGAAAGGCCCAAGGACCCCGAGTATGGAGGAAGAATGGAGAGGCACAAGGACCCCAAGTATGGAGGAAGAATGGAGAGGCCCAAGGACCCCGAGTATGGAGGAAGAATGGAAAGGCCCAAGGACCCAGAGTATGGAGGAAGAATGGAGAGGCCCAAGGACCCCGAGTATGGAGGAAGAATGGAGAGGCACACACTGCAAGATGCTTGAAGTCCAGTGTAAAGTTTCCACAGTCTGTGTTGATTTGGGGAGCCATGTCATCTGCTGGTGTTGGTCCACTGTGCTTCATTAAGTCCAGGGTCAACACAGCCGTCTACCAGGAGATTTTGGAGCACTTCATGCTTCCTTCCACAGACGAGCTTTATGGGGATGCTGACTTCATTTTCCAGCAGGACTTGGCACCTGCCCACACTGCCAAAAGCACCAACACCTGGTTCAATGACCGTGGGATTACTGTGCTTGGTTGGCCAGCAAACTCGCCTGACCTGAACCCCATAGAGAATCTATGGGGCATTGCCAAGAGAAAGATGAGAGACATGAGACCGAACAATGCAGAAGAGCTGAAGGCCGATATTGAAGCATCCTGGTCTTCCATAACACCTCAGCAGTGCCACAGGCTGATAGCTTCCATGCCACGCCGCATTGAGGCAGTAATTGCTGCAAAATGGGCCCAAACCAAGTACTGAGTACATATGCATGCTTATACTTTTCAGAGGTCCGATATTGTTCTATGTACAATCCTTGTTTTATTGATTGCATGGAATATTCTCATTTTCTGAGATTGTGGATTTGGGGTTTTCATGAGCTGTAAGCCATAATCATCACAATGATGACAAATCACGGCTTGAACTATCTTGCTTTGCATGTAGTGAGTCTATCTCATATATTAGTTTCACCTTTTAAGTTGCATTACTGAAATAAAAGAACTTTTGCACCATATTCTAATTTTTCGAGTTTCACCTGTATTTGTCAAATTCTAAAAGAGGCAGGAGGGATGGCCCTTGGGGGCCTGAGGTAGACAACCCTACTATTTTTGTACTTAATAAAAAAAAACCTAATAGCCCTTGGGGGCCTGAGGTGGAAAACCCTACTACCCTTTTTGTATTAAAAAAAAAAAAACAATGGCCCTTGGCAGGCCTGAGGTGGGAAACCATGCTACCCTTTTGTACTTAAAAAAAAACCTGATGGCCCTCAAGGAGCTGAGACTGATGACACTTCTACCTATCAAGTTCTGACACAGCAGAGATGACCCTTTGGGAGCTTGAAACGGTACCCTGCTACCCTTCCTGTTCTTAAACAACCCAGATGGCCCTTGGAAGCCTAGAGTGGACAACCCTGCTACCCTTTTTGTATTAAAAAAAAAACCCAATGGCCCTTGGCAGGCCTGAGATGGGAAACCATGCTACCCTTTATGTACTTAAAAAAAAACCTGATTGCCCTTGGGGGCTTGAGGTGGAAAACCCTGCTACCCTTTTTGTATAAAAAAAAACAAAACAACCCCAATGGTCCTTGGAAGCCTGGAGTGGACAACCCTACTATCCTTTCTGTACTTAATAAAAACCAAACCTGATGGCCCCCAGGGGCCTGAGATGGATAGCGTGTTTACTTGTCAAGTTATGAGACAGACAGCAGGGATGGCCCACAGGGAGCTTGAGATGGTACCTTGCTGCCCTTCCTGTCCTTAAACAACCCAGATGGCCATTGGAAGCCTGGGGTGGACAACCCTACTATCCTTTATGTACTTAATAAAAACCAAACCTGATGGTCCCCAGGGGCCTGAGATGGACTT